AATTTGAATATTTTCTCTTGATCTTGACTACAAAAAAGGATATAAAATCACACTGGCTATAATTAAAAACTTAATTTCTATATTCCATTTTAAAACAGAGTTATAGAGCTAAGTAATAGTGGAAAAAAATTAGTATGTACATGAGTCGGAAAAAAAGATATGGTAATCCGAATTTTCTCTGACCTCTTCTAAAAAATTACTTCTGATGCACGATTATCAGTAATAAACGATATAAAATGGGAACAACATATAAGTGGAAGTAGTTATTTGCGAATATATAAAAGGTCTGTGGACACCTTTATAGATCAAAGTTATTTTTCATAGCTATCATATATATATATATAGCTCACAATCACAGTCTGAATTTCCTCTGTCCTCTTAAAATTTGAATATTTTTCCTTGACCTTGACTACAAAAAAGAATATAAAATCACACTGGCTATAATTAAAAACTTAATTTTTATATTTCATTTTAAAACAGAGTTATAGAGCTAAGTAATAGAGGAAAAAAATTAGTACATGTATGTACATGAGTCGGAAAAAAGATATGGTAATCAGAATTTTCTCTGACCTCTTCTAAAAAAAATTACTTCTGATGCACGATTATCAGTAATAAAGGTTATATAATGGAAACAAAATACAAGTAAAAGTAGTTATTTGCGAATATATAAAAGGCTGGTGGACACTTTTATTGAACAAAGCTTTTTTTCATAGCTATCATATTTATATAGCTCACAATCACAGTCTGAATTTCCTCTGTCCTCTTAAAATTTGAATATTTTTCCTTGACCTTGACTACAAAAAAGGATATAAATTCACACTGGATATAATAAAAACTTAATTTCTATATATTCCATTTTAAAACAGAGTTATAGAGCTAAGTAATAGAGGAAAACAATTAGTGTGTACATGAGTTGGAAAATAGATATGGTAATCCGAATTTTCTCTTACCTCTTCTAAAAAAATTCCTTCTGATGCACGATTATCAGTAATAAACGATATAAAATGGAAACAGAATATAAGTAGAGGTAGGTAAAAGGTCTGTATACACCTTTATTGATCTCAGCTTTTTTTCATAGTGATCATATTTAGATAGCTTGCAATCAAAGTCAAGGGCATTTATACTTCACATGTGTATTCCTTGTGACAAGTCCTTCCCTTGGGTTTCAACAATTTCGACCTTTGACCTTGACCGTTTAGTTTGATATACTTTTGAAAAACTTTAACCTTGACCATGAGTTTTGAACAGTTGGTGCTAGGGCTTTAAATTCATACTTCACACAGATATATTCCTTGTGACAAAATCTTTCTTTGGTTACCAACATTTTTGAAATCTTGACCTAGACCTTGGAGATTGACTTGTATTTGAGAAACTTTAGTCTATGCCATGAGCTCCCATAAGGGGACTCCAGTTTTTCATAAACACATTAATTTTGTTATTGGTTTTGAAAGGAGTGGGATTCAATTGCTCTCAGTTGTTGTTTTTAGTCAATAAAGTGTACATGTACGAAGAAATAGTTAACAAGAACATAATTGAATCGTATAAATTTTTCTTATTTCTAGCAACCATATGAATTAGTATGCAAGTGTAACATTTCACCCCCACAATCAGACAAGAAGGAGTACTCTTTTAGTATATGCACCTTTTGTTGTTTCTTTTTTTCTTCTTCATGAAACGAACACTACAAAGCATCTATTTCTTTCAAAAGGAGAGAAAACAATCTGTGTTTTAAATCATTCTTTTTTATTCACTGTTGAGAATGCAGAATAATTACCACATCCGACATAACACTCACAAAGTTTACTGAACAATGTACATGAAGATTGAAGTAAAACTAATTCAGGATGGATCAACCTATTACCATATCCAAAATAACACTCACAAGGTTAAATGTACAAGAAAAATGAAGTAAAATTATTTACACATGAGGCAGCAAATTACCACATCTGATATAACACTCACATGGTACATGTAAATGGTACATAAAAATAAATAAACTATTAACATATGGATTGGCCAGTTAACACACCCGATAAACACTCACATAGTAAATTATACATGAAAATTTAAAAAAAAATATTTACATAAGGAGCGGCCAATTTCTACATCCGACAAACACTTATATGCTCAATTATACATGAAATTTTTTTAAAAATATATTAACATATAGAGCGGCCAGTTTCCGCACCCGATAAACACTCAAATGCTTAATTACACATGAAATTTTTTAAAAACTAATTTTTACATATGGAGTAGCCAGTTTCCGCACCCGATAAACACTCACATAGTAAATTATACATGAAAATTTAAAAAGAAATAGTTACATATGGAGTGGCCAGTTAACGCACCCGATAAACACTCACATAGTTTATTATACATGAAAATTTAAGGAGAAATATTTACAGAGGGAGCGGCCAGTTTCCGCACCCGATAAACACTCACATAGTAAATTATACATGACAATTGAAAAAAAAATTTCATATGGAGCAGCCAGTTTCTGCACCCGATAAACACTCACATAGTAAATTATACATGAAAATTCAAAAACTAATATTTACATATGGAGCGGCCAGTTTCCGCACCCGATAAACACTCGCATAGTAAATTATACATGAAAATTCAAAAACTAATATTTACATATGGAGCGGCCAGTTTCCGCACCCGATAAACCCTCACATAGTAAATTATACATGAAAATTTAAGGAGAAATATTTACAGAGGGAGCGGCCTGTTTCCGCACCCGATAAACACTCACATAGTAAATTATACATGAAAATTGAAAAAAAAAAATTACATATGGAGCTGCCAGTTTCTGCACCCGATAAACACTCACATAGTAAATTATATATGAAAATTCAAAAACTAATATTTACATATGGAGCGGCCAGTTTCCGCACCCGATAAACACTCACATAGTTTATTATACATGAAATTTTTTTTAAAAATATTGATGTATGGAGCGGCCAGTTACCACACCCGATAAACACTCACATAGTTTATTATACATAAATTTTTTAAAAAATATCTACATATGGAGCGGCCAGTTTCTGCACCCGATAAACACTCACATAGTAAATTATACATGAAAATTTAAAAAGAAATAGTTACATATGGAGCGGCCAGTTACCGCACCTGATAAACACTCACATAGTTTATTATATATGAAAATTTAAGGAGAAATATTTACAGAGGGAGCAGCCAGTTTCCGCACCCGATAAACACTCACATAGTAAATTATACATGAAAATTGAAAAAAAAAAATTACATATGGAGCGGCCAGTTTCTGCACCCGATAAACACTCACATAGTAAATTATACATGAAAATTCAAAAACTAATATTTACATATGGAGCGGCCAGTTTCCGCACCCGATAAACACTCACATAGTAAATTATACATGACAATTGAAAAAAAAAATTACATATGGAGCAGCCAGTTTCTGCACCCGATAAACACTCACATAGTTAATTATACATGAAAATTCAAAAACTAATATTTACATATGGAGCGGCCAGTTTCCGCACCCGATAAACACTCACATAGTTTATTATACATGAATTTTTTTTTTAAAAAATATTGACGTATGGAGCGGCCAGTTACCACACCCGATAAACACTCACATAGTTTATTATACATAAATTTTTTAAAAAAAAAAATTTGATGTATGGAGCAGCCAGTTACCACACCTGATAAACACTCACATAGTTTATTATACATAAATTTTTTTTAAAAAAATATTGACGTATGGAGCGGCCTGTTACCACACCCGATAAACACTCACATAGTTTATTATACATGAAAATTTAAGAAGAAATTTTTACAGAGGGAGCGGCCAGTTTCCACACCTGATAAAAAATCACATGGTAAATCATACATGAAAATTTTAAAAAAATTACATATGGAGCGGCCAGTTTCCGCACCCAATAAACACTCATATAGTAAATCATACATGAAAATTTAAAAAAAAAAAATTACGTATGGAGCGACCAGTTTCCGCACCCAATAAACACTCACATAGTTTATTATACATGAAAATTTAAGAAGAAATATTTACAGAGGGAGCGGCCAGTTTCCGCACCCGATAAACACTCACATGGTAAATCATACATGAAAATTTAAAAAAAAATTACATATGGAGCGGCCAGTTTCCGCACCCGATAAACACTCACATAGTTGATTATACATGAAAATTTAAGAAGAAATATTTACAGAGGGAGCGGCCAGTTTCCATACCCGATAAAAAATCACATGGTAAATCATACATGAAAATTTTAAAAAGATTACATATGGAGCGGCCAGTTTCCGCACCCGATAAACACTCACATAGTTTATTATACATGAAATTTTTAAAAAAAAAATATTGACGTATGGAGCGGCCTGTTACCACACCCGATAAACACTCACATAGTTTATTATATATGAAAATTTAAGAAGAAATTTTTACAGAGGGAGCAGCCAGTTTCCACACCCGATGAAAAATCACATGGTAAATCATACATGAAAATTTAAAAAAAACTACATATGGAGCGGCCAGTTTCCGCACCCGATAAACACTCACATAGTTTATTATACATGAAAATTTAAGAAGAAATATTTACAGAGGGAGCGGCCAGTTTCCGCATCCGATAAACACTCACATAAGAAATTATACATGAAAATTAAAAAAGAAATATTTATATATGGAGCAGCCAGTTTCCGCACCCGATAAACACTCATATGTTCAATTATACATGAAAATTTTTCAAAAAAATATTTACAAAATTAATGGAGCGGCCAGTTACCGCACCCGATAAACACTCACATGGTAAATCATACATGAAAATTTAAAAAAAAACAACAACAAACTATTTACATAAGGAGCCACCAACTTCTGCGTCTGATAAACACTCACTTGTTGAATCATACAAATAAATTGATTTTCAAGGAAAATTATTTCCATATAGATTGTATTATTCATGGTTCTACATATGAATTGAATATGTATGAACAATTCAACCTCACTACTCCTCTAAACAATTAAAGTACTGCAATATGGACTGAATTATTCTTTTTGACTTGGTCACTCGCACTTTTAATGAGTGTTCACAAATTTCTGACAAAAGATTTTCTAAGCCCTGTTGACCATCCCTCTTAAAGGCTAAAAGCAGGTGGGAAAGAGCCAGTCCACTATTGGCTATTTTGGAAGCAATACATTTTGAAATTACCTTTGCTTGTACTAAGGGATTCAGGGATTCACACAATGATTTTGCTTGCATTTTGAACTTGTACATAGCAACAACAGATGGTAGTGACAATGAAAATTTGGATTTGAACTCCATGCTTGGATTAGTCTTTTCTAAAAGACGGCATAAGGCTAAAACATCTTCTAAAGAATCATGTGCATTGTACTGATCACCAAAAACTGTTTCATACACTTTAGGCTGGGAGTAAGATGACAGGCTTGGAAGACACACCTTAAAGAGAGGAAGGGTATCAATAACACCAACAACTCCAATTGACATGAAGCTTTCTAACAAATTATTATTTTCCAATGCTGACAGCAAAATTGGAATGTCAAAAGCCTTACAGTTATGTCCAACTAATATGACTTTATCAAACTTTTCCAAAAATGCAAAGAGTTTCTGTAATGCTTCTTGGATTCCAAGGTATTCAACTTGTCTGTTGTTGTGAAACATTTTTCCATTTTCAAACTCTAAACCTGTCACTTTCGAGGCTGCAGGAGAAATCTTCTTTTCAGGTTTAACATAACAGTTAAAAAAATCCCCATCAGTGTGTACAGCAGACAACTGTATGATATTCGAGTCTCTGCCTAAAAAAGACAAAAAGAAAATAATGTACTTACAATTGGTCTTGACAACAACCTGAGTATCAACAATTTCACTTGCTGTGAATATCTCTGAACTATCTGTCAGGAGAAGAAACTGAAAATGTTAAAAAACAAGAAAGTCTGTGAGCCAATGCTCACTAATAATATTACTGCTTTGATGTGAATATATGCTCTCATGAACCCCACCATATGGCATGCCTATACAAAGAGTGTGGTAAAATTTCAAGCACCTGTCTTGAGTATTTGCTGAGAAAACTGTGACAGAAATTTGGTATGGACAGACGCATGGATATACAGGAAGTTGAGATCGTATTCATACAAAAATGAATCCCACCATATGGCAGGTCATATGCCTAGACAAACCGAAGAGTGTGCTAAAATTTCAAGCATCTGCAATGAATATTTGCAGAGAAAACTGCGACGAAAATTTAGTATGGACAAACACACTGATAAACAGGAAGTTGACATTGGATTTGTGCAGAAATGATTCCCACCATACGGCATGCCTAGACAAAGAGTGTGCTAAAATTTCAAGCATCTGCGATGAGTAGTTGCTGACTAAACTTCAACGAAAATTTGTCACAGACAGACACACAGCTTAGAGACAGACGGACGCACACTGGTAAAACAGCATACCCCCCTCTCCTTCGGAGTTGGGTATAATTAATGCAACTGGCAAAAATAAAGGACTAAACATAAAGAGGACACAAAGAGATAGCAAAAATACTCTGACAGAACATAAAGAGGACACAAACAGATAGCAATAATAAACATTAACACTACATATTTTTTAAGAGTAATGAACCATACATTTCTTTGGTATGTAATAATTTTTGCAGGTATATCACAAGTTGATTCATATCATATTATGATTATTATTAAATATATATCAAATTTTGAAAGTGAAAGAATCATACCAAGTCCAGTTGTTTCTATATCAAAGAAGGCAAACTGGCATTCATTCAGTTGATTTATATCAATGGATATGTATTCAGGTTGTACAAGAGGTGGTGGTATTCTCTGAATATCACTAGAGATGTGAGACATCAGGGTACAGCCTGGCTGGTAAGATGTTCCTTCTCTAATCTCCAAACATGCATTCTTTCTATACCTGTTTATGCCAGAATTAAACTATTTATATTACAAGTTTTTAAAGAAGCATTTGATACATAGTTATTAAAGAACAAAAAGCTTTTTTTGAATATGTGAAAATGAAGATTGAACACAGTACTGAAAATATTAATAATGAATGCATTCTTCTTAGCATGTTGGACTTTTGTCAGGGACTTGAAGAGAAAATGATTTTAACAGCGGTAATAATGTATATAAGTTTCTTTATCAATTGACTCTTATAAAAGTCTGCCTAGGCATTTAGAAATTGTGAATCATAAATTATATAATAATAAAATCATAAGTACTCTTTGGATTTCTTTGCAAGCCTTTTCCTCTTAAATTTGTGGGAGTTGACAATAGCTCTTTGTTTAAGCCTCTGCGAGTCCCTCAATTTGGCAAGACGCTCAGTAAAATGGCCAGGAGAAAGTCCTAATGAGCGATTTACCTGCAAAAAGAATAATCTTTTTTTTTTATGAGGAGCACTCAGCATAGTTTGAATACATATTTTTCACACATTTTTCTGTTCTTTGGTTTACTTTTTTCTACATTAAATGACCATATTTTTGTAATATTGTAAATATTTTCTCAGATTACTATAAGATTAACAAAATATACACACATTTACAAGGTACTTATGGCCAGTGTTTTTCTGTGCCACACATGCTGCAACTCTGTAGGCAAGGTTTCTCGTTGCACTGTAATGGACATTCTTTGGTGCTTTTGCTGCCACCATACGATTAAAGCTTTCATTAGCTTGAGTACTCCCAAGTGAAGAAAGTTTAACACTGTGTTCCGAATATGTGGAAAAAATCCTCTTCAAAGATGACTGAAGGTGTGGGTTTGAAAGTGGTTTACCATAAGGAAACGATCTGTAAAGGCAGTTAGGATTATTAATAAATCTACACCATCGTGAGGAGCAGGTATGGTGGTCACCAAATGGATGCAGTGAGAGAGCCTCGAGATCAGATGCAATCTGTGATGGATTCCCTTTTCCTTGGGCAATAATGTAATCAAAGCATCTCTGCAAATATTTTATGATTTTAACTGAAAGCATGGGATGCTGTTTCTTCAGTCCATATAGGGAGTTCCCAAGAAGCTTACGAATATGATTTTTATCTGAAATCTTAACAATTTCATCACTGACATTGGCTCTTAAACGGCCTATCGTGGTCGAGTCTTCGTCTCCAACAATAGCATCTACTTTGTATCCTTTATCCTTAACCTCTTTCACCATTTGGATTACCATGTCGGCCTCCATGGCTTTAGCACTCCCATCCCAATTTCTAGAGCATTCATGTTGTCGAACTGTTTCATTTTTTGAAGCAGCTGTAGTGCAGACTCTGCAGTCTTTGGAGCGCACTGAGTAATTCAGGATTTGTCCAGTCTCCGGACCTACCATAGAGCAGTGACCTAGAAAAGAAGAGGCCCATGGGCCACAAGTTAGCCCACATTGCTCATCTGTGTGACCCCCCCCCTACCCCCCCCCCCCCATGATTAGGATCATAATTAAACAAAATTGAATCCACAATGTGTTATTAAGCTTTTCTCTAAGTTTTCTCTTTTTTGGTCCAGTGGTTCTTGAGAAGAAGCTTTTGAAAAGATGCCATAAAATTTTCATTAATTCTAAATTAGGCCACTTAAAGTTAATTCTACCTTTAACGTCACCCGCATGCGTGGGTTTAAAAGAAATCCGTCTTTGAAAAAAAACAAACAATTCCGAATTTCATATATCCATCCCAGTTTGGTTCTACATTTAGCGACTCAATTCTGTATCCTTTAGTGAATGAAAATGTGCTTTGTTACCGCAGTTGGTGTCTGAAGAAAACTGGTGAGTTAAAGACCTAGTTACAAGCCACATTTCTGCACATTCAGTCTACACTGCTTGCTCACAAAAGAATTCAAACCAATATGCATACTAAGGAAAAACTCTCTGTTTGGGAAATTAGACTTAGATGTCAAATCAAAAACCTTATTGCCCAGTAGTGTTTTTTATGCACTGAATAGGTTGATTTGAATAAATTCACAGTTGTTTAAAATTTTTGTTTTTTTATTTTTTTCCTCCCTCCTCGTAGGTTTTGCATTTTAGAGGTGACGTTAAATGTAGAATTAACTTTGGACAGTCTTACATGTATCTTTCCCCATGAAAGAAGGTGTGACCATTCATTAGAACAAACTTGAATCTCCTATACCAAAGGATTCCTGGATGGCAAGCTTGTTCTTGAGAAAAATTTAGAAATGTGAAAAGTTTTCAGATAGACAGACATTTTTTAATTGTGATTAGAAAAATTTATTTGAGCTTTAAGGATATCCCATCCTCAGCCAGGAAGGATAACTCATAAATTTATTATTTTATTTAAAAAGTCTCAAAATGAAGCTTGAAATCGAGATCTTTTCGTGCAACAATTTTCATTTTATTCATCTCAATATGATTTAAGATTTTTTGAAGTCTTAGCAATTGTTTTGTAAAAAGTTGACATTTGTACCACATAAAAGAAAAAATAAATTCATTATTAGTAAAATCGAATTTCCTTTAATCTAGCATTAGATATCGATGCTTATTACCATGTTGTGAAATTAAATGTGATCTGTGATGTCTAGCAATGATAGCACAAGCATTTTACACTACGTATTATATAACAATTGAAGTAAATAGAAGAACTAAAATACTGTATAAGCATAAAAAAGATGCAATTTTCTCCAAATGCCTGGATACCTAAACTTTTTAATCCTAAAATATATTTGTTGATCAATTTTCAATCAGAAAATGCATAGTTGGTGTTTTTATTCGGATTTCCTGAAAATATATTTGAGATTTGATAATTTTCCCTATATAATATGATTAACTATAATGAAGAACTTTGAGGAAATACCATGGGTAAATTCACGTTACTCTGTGAAATCAGAGACATTTTTGTGAGCATTTTCAATTACTTTAAAGCTGATTTTCAGAACCTGACGATCGGACTACCTTAAGCTTCGGTAAGCTAAAAATTCCTTCTTAAATTTCATTAAAAAAAGATTCCAGATTTATTGAAGCCTTGACATATTTCTGGGGGCCCTGATCTGCACAAACTTGAATATAAACTTGCTTGCATATCGATACATATATGACTATAATTGGCCTTGCTGTTCTTGAGAGGTAGATTTTAAAGAATTTTTCCCAAAATAGTCCTTTATTTAAAAACATTGTGGTCCCATCCTACCACCAGGGATATGATTTAAGCAAATCTGAATGAAACTTTCATATAAGTTTCATCTTTTCTGAAACAGTGAATCTTGGGAAGAAGACTTTTAAATGTATGCCATTTAATTTTCACTAACTCATAATTATCTACCCTTCAAAAAGGGTGTGGTCCTTCATTGAACAAATTTGAATCTCCTACATCCAAGGTTGCATGTGGAATTGGTCCAGTGGTTCTTGAAAATACGTCAAAAAATATGTTAACAGACGGACAGACAGAAGGATGCCAGACAAAATGTGATCAGAAAAGCTCACTTAAGCTTTCAAAGATGAGCTTAAAGAATTCAATCATAAATTCATCTCAATTACTGTTCAAACATAATAATATGTATGCCATATTTGTCCATACCATCTTTATTACAAGTCCCAGTTACCTAATTTTTAATGCAACTAGGAATATGTCCATAGGACATGAATGCCCCGCCGAGGGTATATTAGTAATGCAACATGAAAATTTGTATTAGTATATGGAATTTGATGAGAATATCTTGAATAGTTTCTTTAAAATTGAAATCTTAAAAGTTGGATATAGATGATAAATTCTCACCAAATAATGTATAAGTACATAAACTTACATAAATATATCTTAAATTTATAGTTTCTTTAAAATAAAGCAAAATGCAAATCTAAGAAAAGTGAGGTCAAGGTCACAGGAGAGTTCAAGGTCAAATGTTTTTGATGCAGTTGAATACTTCTCACAAATACGTATCAGCATATTTAATTTTGATAAATATATTTTGAATGGTTTATTTAAAACTGAGCTAAACACTAATTTAAAATAAATGAAGTTAAGGTCAAAGGAAAGGTCATGGTCAAAAAATGTTGATGCATTTGAAAAGGTTACATCAGTATGTATTAGCATATGAAGTTTGATAAAAATATTATGAATGTTTTCTTTAAAACTGAGTTAAACACAAATTGAGAAAAGTGAGGTCAAGGTCAAAGGAAAGGTCAAGGTCAAAAAATATTGATGCAGTTGAATAGCTTACATAAGTATGTATCAGCATATGAAGTTTGACACTAATTCAAGAAAAGTAAGGTCAAGGTCAAAGGAATGGTCAAGGTCAAAAAATGTTGATGCAGTTGAATAGCTCTCATCAGTATGTATTAACATATGAAGTTTGATAACACTGTATTGAATGGTATCTTTAAAATTGAACTAAACACTAATTTAAGAAAAATGATGTCAAGGTCAAAGGAAATGTCAAGGTCAAAAAAAATATTGATGCAGCTGAAAAGCTCTCAACAGTAAGTATCAGCATATGAAGTTTGATAAAAATATCTTGAATGATTTCATTAAAACTGAGCTAAACACTAATTTAAGAAAAGTGAGGTCAAGGTCAAAGGAATGGTCGAGGTCAAAACATGTTGATGCAGTTGAATAGCTTACATCAGTATGTATCAACATATGAAGTTTGATTACACTATCTTGAATGGTATCTTTAAAACTAAGCTAAACACTAATTTAAGAAAAGTGAGGTCAAGGTCAGATGAAAGGTCAAGGTCAAAAAATGTTGATGCAGTTGCTTAGCTCTCATCAATATCTATCAGCATATGAAGTTTGATAAAAATATCTTGGATAGTTTCTTTGAAACTGAGCTTTGAACAGAGCTAAACCCAAAGTGTGACGGAAAGACAGACGGAAGGATGGAAGGACAGAAGACGGACATGACAAACACTATATGCCCCGGCCATATTCATGGTGGGGCATAAAAACCTTCTATCCAAGATACACAAGCTGACAAAGTTTGATAATTCTAGACCTCTTACTATATAAGTTATGAGCCAGACATCAAAAGCTAGCAGAAAATTTTTTAAACATAGTTTTAATTTAAATATGTCACCTAATTAAAGGTCACATTGACACCTTCCTCTTTAGATGCATATTATAATTTTTCCAATTTTGACGATTGAAGCCGTAATAGTGTTTCAGTCATGATCTGGACACAAAAAGGCTAACAGCTGTAGAGACTGACAGTTAACATGCAGACAGAAAAAAAGAATTCTACAAAATAGAATTACTTGCCTGATAGGCTATCATAAGATTTTCCACTTCCCCTTTTTTGCCAGCCTGCATCGACAGCAACAGCAAGTCTCCCATTTGTACTGAAAAATTTAATAATCGGGTACATTTGTGAAGATACATTGATATACTCAATATAATAGATCAGAAAAGCTAACTTGTTCTTGAACATGTAACTAAAGAAGTACCCTAATCAAGAGAGATTACAATGTATGAAACATACTCTTCTACTGCTTTTACTTCCTTTTGTAGAGCCTCATCTGTTGACTGCTTTGCAACTCTTTCAACAATCTCTCCTGTCTCTCTCAGTCTTGCACCTACAGTCTTGTAGTAAACAGTTGGTATATTTATCTCAGAAAGCAAACTATTTAGCTGCCTTACTCCAATCCCGGAGTGAACTAAACCTGTTACAAAAAAAAAAATAAAAATTGCATTTCAATGTCAACAATGTTTTGTAGCTAAAAATAGTGCAAAATGAAAATGTTTTTATTAACATTACATTATTTTTTTGTTCTGATGATTTACAAATTCACACATCTATTGGCCCATACAACATTGGAAATAAATGTTTTATACCCGTAGCTAGTTTTGTGTTCACATCCCATATTCTGTCATGCCTTTTTCCAGTGGGGATATGATTGATGTGCATACATTTTGTATTAAAACATTGTACCTACAAAATATATTTACATTCCATTTCCACAGCTTTTTTTTTTTTTTTAGCAAAGTGTTGGAAAGGTTTAGCATTCAAAAACACTATAACATCTTAGGTCTCAACCATTGAACATCATGTAATTGCAACTTCATAAGTGAAAAATCACTATTCTATCTCACAATACACAATATACATTTAACAGCTGCTCCTTCAATCTACCTGTACAAGTGTGATGTGTATCATTTAAACAGGCATTATATACTTGTATTCAATGAAACATTAAGTCATCAATCTATCATTGAATTTAAAATGTTAATTAAAACAATTAAACTGTAAATTGTGGAGGTCAATCATGTCATATCTGGACAGCTGTGCAGGCAAATTTTCATAACAGGCTGACATTCATTTGCACAGGTGCATGTCCTTGTTATGACCAACTGAATGTCCAACATTTACAATTCTATGCTTATATGTCTTTTCTGAAACATGTATATGTATACAATGGGAAAAACCCAATGCTTATTTAAACTTCAAAAGGATATACATGTCTGCACATGTAACTCAAGTGGATATACATGCATGCATCTATTACTTAATATACTCACTTTTAAAAGTGATCCAAGACCATAAGTCTGGATTTCTTTGGTGTGGTTCAAATGGAGGGGCAAGCCACACTTCCCACAAGCACTCAGTCCCTTGGCCAGCACATCTAATTCAACAATACGCCGCCCTTGCCTCCAGTCTTCGCATTTTTTAGAATCATCTTCATTATACTCTTGATCAATTATTTCTTCCTCTCTTTCTACATTTGATAAATCTGGACCTGTATGCGACATGTTTAAAGTTGTATTAATTCTTTATGATCTGCATACAATAATCAAAATTGAACCTAAATTTTTTTATATATACAGTCAAAATATGTTATACTTTATCATTCAGAAATGACCAAAAATGTATTGATGAAAGTACTATTTCAATGTTTAACAGTAACTGTAAGTCCTTTATTGCTGTAATGTAATTCAACACTCCCAGTCAGGCATGAGAGGGCACAGGGAAATAATCATGCCTTGCAATAATGAAGTATAAATATTTTTTTATTATTATTTTCATCATTTTTAGTACTGTATATAAGCCCCTGTTATTATTATCACAATTATCTTCAAAAAATGAATCAAATTAAATCTGATTTTTTTTTTCTATACCCTGACATTTCATATTCAGTGTAGGCCCAGGACTGCCAAATTCTATTTTCATTCATTCAATGTCACCTAATTATTTTATTTTTTTATTTTATTTATTTATTTATTATTATTTACACATGTATTTAATTTTTATTTTACTGAACCAAAAAAAAAAAATAGTTGCTTGATATATGCATGCTTTATCTCCTTACAATAAAATTGTTCAAACCATTTGTTGACTATACTTCAAGTTCATTTGTTCTTTTGGAATGTTTTTGAAGAATCAGTTTGATAACAATTTAGAACCCTTTATGGCGCCCCAGTTTGAGAATTGGACGAAGAGTGGTTTCCCTTTCATTTAAAAACTTTGAGAAAAGTTTAACTATAACTTCATATTTTAAGAATTTTTTAAATACTTTCTTACTTTCATAATAATAATTGCTTAATATTTAGTCTCTGTTTTTGTTTTGAATTACAAAATTTACACCATATGTATATTAAAAAAATAATCATTTCAGTTATATTAATAACATCAAAACAAAATAAAGTTGTCAGAATTTTCAAAGACGTCCTCTACGGTCGCCTCGATGTTCGAGGAATTTTTAGAGCATTGGAGAAGTGTATGTAGGATAATTTTGTGTCAACATTTGATGTGGGATCTTTCTCTTTAGAGGGATAATCAAATTCTTGTGGCTTCGTGTAGCATGTACCCAATACACATCTGTATAGATACACGTTTTTGACGTAAAGTATATTCTCACTAGTGTGTTATGAACTGATTAATACTTACCACTGAAATAATTGTGATCAAGGTGTTGAACTTCAGACTGTCTAGCCCATCTTGCTTTCTGACTCTCAGATACCCGCTCGTATTTTCTTACTACTTTAGTTGTTTTAAACCCGTGTTTTCGGTACCGTGTCATTGCATTGTTTACATTAATTGCAATTTTTCCCTGTCGTCTGTCAAATTACATCTACCGAAAATTAGCGCGAATTACAAAACGCCAAATAAATAAATAAAATTACGACTCATGATGTATATTTAATGACGAGTTTACAAATTGACAAACATTAAGTTAAAGCAGTATTTTTTAAAGAGGACTTGGCCATCTACATTTTAACAACAACATAGATCAAATTACGGCAGTTCGCGTTGCGCAGTTGACGTGTTTTCGTCAGGTTCACATATCCTTAAGCAAATTATTTTACGTCTCAGTTGACGTCATAGTATGGCATCCATGACGTTATAGACGCAACTATATTCGGCGTGGAAAGGGTTAAATATTTTGGCCTCCAAAAGCAGAAATCAGTTCAGTATTGAAAAGTTTAAATATAAAAGTGCCCCCGGGGAAGGGGGCAAGATTTGGAAAAACTTGAATCTACACTGAAGATGCTTCAATTTTTCTTTGACTAATTATGGTTTTAGAAGATCTTAAAAGATTTTTCCCAATAAGTTTAATCTTCAATTGTGCCCACCCTACCCCTGACTGTAATTATTTGAACAAACTTGAATCTAAACTACATGAGGATGCTTCCATTTAAATATGACCGATCGTGGCTTTGCTGTTCTTGAGAAGATTTTTTTAAAAACATTTTCCTATGTACGTCCGTGTAAAACTTTGATTGCCCATTGTGTCCCAACCAACCCTAAGGGGTCATAATTTGAATAAACTTGAATCTACACTACCTGAGGATTTTTCCATATATGTTTCAACTTTTCTGGCTCAGTGGTTCTTGAGAATATTTTTAAATAAAGCCATTTATTTTTCGTTAATCTGTAATTATATGTTTCAACTTTTCTGGCTCAGTGGTTCTTGAGAAGATTTTTAAATGATGCAATTTATTTTTCACTAATCTGTAATCTTCCCCTTGGAAGAAGGCGTGGCCCTTCATTTGAACAAAAATGTATTTCCTTTACCTAAGCATACTTTGGGCAAATTTGGTTGAAATTGGCCCAGTAGCTCTTGAGAAGAAGTCGAAAATGTGGAAAGTGTAATTACAGACAGACAGACGGACGGACATCAGACAAAATATGCCTTCGGCTCTAGTGAACTATATATATATATATATATATATATATATATATATATATATATATATATATATATATATATATATATATATATATATATATATCGGCATCGAAAGCAAGTTTATAAACTTGCCTAGATAGCCGAGCGGTCTAGCGCGCTGTTCCTGTACTGCTAGGAGACAGATTCCGTAGGTCGAGAGTTCAACCTCGGGCTGGGGCGGAAGTGGGTATCCTTGTAAAAGTGAATTTCTTTGTGCTTTCTATATATATATATATATATATATATATATAGACCCACACATTTTTAATGATTTAAGGATACTTTCACTGATATCTCTGTTAATTTTGTTCGTTTCGTGTTTTGAACATTTTCTTCCTGTGAAGGTTGTATTGGGAATGGGGTGGGGGTTATATTGTAGTGAGTGTCTACCTAGATTTAAAGATTATCATTTTCCCTTAAATGCTATATGCAATGAAATATATGTTAAGTCTATCATTTTATCAAATTATATAAATATTTTTAGGGTATAATTTTCTAATTTTCCAAGTCATTTTCAGAGCAGAGGAAAGTGCTCTTCATGTTGCGGATGACTTAAAACTCTATTTTAACAATGTCCTCTGGTAAGTATACTGAGGATATGAATGTCTTATTTTCGAAATTTACATGTTGTTTGCGGTTTAAAAATTTGCATATGTTCAAATATATTTTGATATAAGTGAATGAAAAGTAGCTCCAAAGAACATGCCCACTAAAACAGGGATTTAAAAAAAAAATACTGTACTGTGTGAAAGTTAGATGATCATCTTACTTAGAAATCTCAGGAAATGGTGATATTTTCAGTGTTTTCTCGTGGAAAATACTGTAGTTATATACATTGTATAGATAATGTGTGCACTTGTATTGCGATCTTAAACGAATTATAAAAGTTGAATTGCTCATATCCTGAATATGATTGTTCTAACTTCAAACTCTCAAAGGAAACATAAGATGAATGGGAAACTTTTTTTTATGAAATATATAAAACCGATATTCTAGATTACTATCGCATGTTCACATATTCTTTATTGTAAAAGAACTTATCTTCTCGAATTTATTTTCAGGTTGTTCAAATTGTATGTGTCAATAATGCTCTCTCCAACTCAAGAGGGCTAAGAAGTGTTGCAATTGACACATGAGTTTCACAACAACTTTGTTTAAAGTAATAACTCGAAAGGTTATGAATTTGATACAAAGGGTAAATATAAACAAAGTTTATTTTTGTGATTTTATATTTTCCTAAATCTCCGGGGTCAATGTCTAACAACCCCCTCAAATAATAAAAAAAAAAAACATCCAAAATGTTCCCGGAAATCTTTACTTCTATGTACTCAAAGTAAGCACATTAAATGACCTTTAGACTCATCGTGTAAAATACAAAACATTAAATCTTATGTTGTAGATATATTGAGATAAAAGACAAATGGAACAAATTAAACACTGTATTACTTTTTTTATTTTTTGTTTTCTCTCATGATCATACGGTGGCTGCTATAGGTTATGGTATGAATTTTTTTTTTTATTAATTCGTGGCCACGAAATAAAGTTGTGCTATATAATGCAATTTTTTGCTTCTTCTGTTTTTTGTCATTCAAGATGAACGAACTTATATATTATTATCATTCAATTGGAATGAGCCAATGGGATATTTGTGTAATGAGCAATGGGATTTGATGCTGATACGTAGAACATGTTTCACATGAGAAGTTATACTCCTAACATGCTAAGATTTTGTGTCTTTATTTCATTACAACTATGTGATAGGATTCAATAGGAAATGTTAGAAAACAGCTAATAAGCCCCTAAAGTCATTAATGTTCGGGTTACCTTGTCAAATATCAGGAGCAAAACTTACCAGAGTTATTATAGTTAAGAAAAATACATAACTTGACTATATAAATTGTCCCTGTGTATTATATCATCTAAAAAATCATGAGGTGGGACTTCATGCTGTGTCATGAAGCATGATAACAAGCTGAAGAGAACACTTTCATTTTATTATTTGGTTAGGATATCGTTTTGGATGAAGTATCATTGAACTACCTTAAACTCCAGAACAGTCAATTGAATCGGCTTGAATGTTTTGCTTTAATTTTGGGCACAGAACAAAAGAGAGAGTTTTTTTTTTTTTTTTTTTTTTTTTTTTTTTTTTTTTTTACACATCTAGACTATGTTCATAATGCATGTACCAATTCTCAGCTGCTTCTAATATATATGCAAATTAAATATATGGGTATTTATAATGATGTTCATCAGTGCGGGCCAGTTACAATAATCTGTGTCTGTGTGTCATGGGACGGACCCTCACTGGGTCCATAGCAAATTATCATTTTAACACTATATGTACATATAATTGTGTACATATAATTCCCACGAATTTTATTTCAATCCCACGAATTTTATTTGGTTCCTACGAATTTTATTTCGTGGCCACAAATTTTATTTCGTTTCCATGAATTTTATTTCGAATTTTTATTTCGTGGCCAC